GGGAGCGCTCGCCCCCCCACTCTTCTCGGCTCCCTTGTGACCCTGACAAGGGCTTGGCAGGCAACTGCCAAGCCAGGTGCTCTGAGCGGCCCACCAGGCCACAACCACACGGATGCAATTTCATAGGGGCTGGAGACCAGGCCCAAAAAGTGACGTGGGCTCCACTGGGGGTCACCCTCAGGATGGGGACACCTCACAAGACATCTCACCTGGGAAGGGGCACCTTACTAGGGACACCTTCTCCCTCCCTCTGCCCATGGCCGCCTCAGGAAAACAGCTGAGACTGAGTAGAGGGTAGCTTGAGGTCAGGCCACCCAGTCCCTGTGGACACTGGTGCCCAGGCAGGCCCTAGGGTGGAAGTGGGCCTGGGGCTCGGGGCTGTCCCGCACAGAGTCGGCCTCTCTGAATGAGCAGAGGGGCTAGGGGGTGGTGAGCAGGGACCAATCCGAAGGCCCAAGCCCCTGCCTGGTGCCCCCTTCCCTTTCCCCGAGTCACCGAATCCTGGGGGTCTCCATCGGAACCCTGTGCAGAGCACCGGCAGCCCACCCTTTCCCTGGCCCCATCTGGTCACCGACCCCTGGCCCAGCTCTCCTGAGATCGCCTGACTCAGTTCAGGGCTAAACCCCAGGCGGGAGGGAACCATTTAGGGGTTGTGGCGGGAGGTCAGTGGGCAGCGTGGAGGTCTGCCTCCTGGCTGCAGAACGGAGCAGGGAGGACAGGCCCCTCCTCCAGCCCAGCAGAGGCCAGCCCCGCCTGGGCATGTTCCCTCTGGAGCAGATCTTCCCATCAAGGGCGTGGGCATGGGGAGGCTCCCCTCGCAGTGGGGTAGGCTGGGACTGACAACTTGGGGTGACACTGGAGGGGGCAGAGAAAAGGAGCCATGCACTGGTTGGCTTCTGAAGCAAGGGCCCTGGGAATACCTCTGCGCTGGGGCCTGGAGGACACTGCCGGACGCCCTCCGCCCGGTGGCCCAAACTCCAGCTACACTCTGCTGAATCAAAATACATCTTACTCCAAAGCAGGCCAGCGTTGCCATGGCGACCGTGCTAATTCCTGGAGGGACTTCTCTGTCTTGATTTATTGTGCCCGCCCCTGTGAGTCAGAGGTACAGATACAGGGCCAGGGCAGGTGTCTCTCCTGCCCCAGAGGCCGGCCCAGGCAGAGGCGGGGCAGGGTCCCAGGTAGAGGTGAGGGCCCCACACCTCCTCCTCACTGGCCAGCCCTGGTCCAGCCCTGGCTGCCTCAGGGGCAGTGGGCCCGGGAGCTCACTCAGCACTCACCTAGGGCCTGCACTTCCCGCACATCCAAGCAGCCCCTACAGATGGAGGCAGACCAAGAGCCCAAGGTTGAGTGGCCGCTAGGTGGAAGCCTTCACCTCTCCTTCTGCCTCCCACCTCCCAACCCTCCACCTGCTTTCGAGGCTCTCTCCAAGGCTGCCTCAGCCTGGAAGCCCTGCCTTTCTGAGCCCTGAGGCTCTGAAGGCAGTCACCACTGGCTTCCCGGGGCTGCAGGGTGAAGATGGAGGGCTGGAGCCAGCCCGAGTGGGGTGCAAGGCGCAGGTGCCCTTCCGTTTGAGTGCACAGGCAGCCAGGCAGGGGCTGCTGGGGGTGGTCATCCCGGGACTCTGGACCAACGCTGCCCCAAGAAGCAGCCCCAGTTCTGGCTTCCCTCTGAAGACGTGGGGGCCTCTCGGGCTTACTTACAATCTGTGGGGGTGGGGCGGGGACGAGGGCACCCAGACCCCACCTGCAACCTGCAGAGCCCTGCCAGCACCCACACAGGTGCCCTGACACACTGACACGGTCATACGTGCGCAGCCGCACATGCGGCCGGTCCATACACCCATCCATCCATCTCCGGGAGCCCCTAGGGAGGTTCCAGACTGAGCCTGGGTGAGAGCTGGGATCAGGGCTCCAAGCTCCCAGACCGCCCCGGGGGCCCCACAGCACAAGCCCCATGCCCAGCGGTCCCGTTCCCAGCAGGATGGCCACGGGACCAGGCGCCTGGAGCCCTTGGTGCCTGTCAGAGCAGCGCTGCCGGCCCTGCCCTCCCAGCCGCCCCTGCCTGGAGCCCAGCCTGCCCTGGGTTGGCGACCTTGGGCCTCTTCTCTCCATCAGGGAACGTCCCCTCAGGCCATGCCTGGGCAGCCACACCCCCAGCGTGGTTCTCCCCCTCCCTGCAAAGCATGTTATTAAACATGGGTGCCACGGAGCCTGACAGGGACTGTCAGCCCCTTGGTCACCCTCGCTGCAAGGGTCCCCTCCCTCTCCACGGTGGGAGGGGGACAGCATCCACCTCGCCCTCTACAGGCCCCAGCAGAGACCTCCAGCTGTCAGCCCGCAGACTGGGAAGGGAGGGGGAAAGCAGCAGGGAGCGAGGATGCGACCTACGGCCCCGGCAAAGGGGGGGCCTCCTGGACCGGTTGAGGGGCCCAGGCGGCGGCTGGGCACTAGTGCCACCCCTACTCCAGGGCTGCGGGCGGGGTGAGGGAATCACGGATCAAGGGTCTGGGCGCTGCCGGCCCCGCCCCGCCCCCGGGGACCTGGCAGCATCCCCTCCCCGCCCCGCGCCAGGAGGGGGGGGGGGCTCCGC